TTTTTTAATTCTGTGGAAATGAGCTGCATGTAGAATGATCATACATGTTTGCAATATAGCAAATATCATTGTGAATGCTTGCTTTGAATGCTTGCTTTAAGAATAAAAAGCAAGTTGTATGAGCCCCTAATAAAATGATCATAAAAAATATTGACTTAGCATTTAAATTAGATCTGGAGTTTCTGGAGGAATGCACGTCAATGAGAGGAAGGTTTGTTTTGGGTTTTTTTTTATGACAGGGACCTCTGAGGCTTTTTCTTTTACTACCATTTAAAGATACTTATTTGTTTCTCACTATAGAAACAAAAATTAAACCCAACCCGGTAACAACAGTTCAATGTGAGGCAAATGACTGATGCTTAAAATAGTATGTCAGAATGAAAAATAAAAAGAAAAATCTTAGGGAAGTTACCCTTTGGTAACTCAGCTCTGCCCTTTGTTTTATAAAAGACAGTTGTAAGTCATATCCTTTTGAATCTGCCAGGGCTCAGATTGAATGTTGTTCTCTCTGTGGATTACTCCTCTCCCAAATAAATCTCCTTTGCATATGAAGATCTCATTTTCTAAAAGTAGTAATTGTCCACTCTTTTTCCAAAGCCATTTGTGTTTTGTCTCACAGCAGTACAGGCTGCATTCATTTAAATCAATGAGAAGTTGATACCAAGGGCTCAAGTAGAAAATGTTTTGAAAATGATGATGGCAACAAAAGTGCTTAACACAATGGATGGATGGATTGTGATAAGGGTTGTATGGGCCTCTAATACATTTTTTCTTAAGTATGAAAAAAACAGAATAGAAAGAAAATTGAAATAAAAAAAGAATAGAAATCATATTTTGTTTGGGGGCACAATATTTGACTCGTATTTTTTGTAGAATAACCTGAATAATTGTGTGTAAACCATTTTGAAACTTTATTTATCTCTAATGTGAAGATGGAAATATATCTTTGTTTTTATAATGAATGACCTACTAAATAGTGGTATTTGTTGTGCCAAGTTGTAGACTATGTAGCAGAATCTTGTCACATTTTCCAGATAAGAAGACAACTTTGAAATAGCATTTCTCAGGAGGTGATTCAAACATATAATAATTCATAGCCCTACCAAAGGTAAAAGTGCAGATTGCCAGAATCATAACTCAGCTCCATTGTTTAACACGAACAAGAACACCTTAAAATAAAAACAAAGTGCTCCTTTTTTTTCAGTATTCATTTCAAAACAGCTTAACTCTTGTTGACCTACTTACACCCTCGGACTCAGAGACACCTCCTGCTCCTGCCCAGGGGGAGCCCCCATCCACCAAGCCTGACAAAATGAGGTGTGTTCTCGTCACTCTGGATGCACCGAGAAGAAAGACCGATGGCCCAATCAGATATCACACACAGTCACACACACGTAGTATTAAAAAATACTTATAATTTAGTAGTTATATACATGAGCTCTCAAAAATACTCAGCTCTCTTATCTGCAAAATGAGTACAATACTAGTAATAGATGCATTATAGAATTGTTGGGAAGCTGAAATGATCTAATAAAATTCTTTAAACTATGTTTGTTACAATGCATGACACTTGTTTTGCCTGTTTTGTAGAGGAGCAGACAGAGACAACCACCCCCCAAACAAACTCACTGCCATCAACTTGACTTGGATTCACAGCAACCCTATAGAACAGGACAAAACTGCCCCTGTGGGTTTCTGAGATTCTAACGATGGGAGTAGAAAGCCTTGTCTTTCTCTCTCAGAGCTAATGATTGATAATGGAGCTACTTTTATTGAGTATTTATATTGGGCTAGAGTGTTCAGAGACCTTAACTTACCTAATCTTTACAAGAACCCTCCAGAACTGACATTAGGCTCATTTCACAACTGAGGAAACTGAGGCCCAACAAGAGCTGGAAGCTTGTACAAGATCATGAAATTAAGAAATGGCCAATGAGTTAACGCCAATTCACTTGCCCAACACGCAATGTTCCTTGTCTTCTTTTCCTTGAATTCTCAGCCTTTAAGCCTTTAGTAGTGAGATAGAAGTCTATGAAATTGATAGGAATTCATAGGTCAAAAATTGAATGAAATTGGCAATTCCATACGGTTCAAAGTATACTCAGAGGTATGCCATGCAAAAACTCATCACAGCTATCACTACCCCTCTGCAGGTCTTGACACTGATTTAAATGGAACAGCACTGGAAATAGTATACAAGTGTAAGTTATGATCTTTTTGACCTTGCTCACAGCAAGGTCAGAAGTTTGAAACCACCAATTTCTCCATGGGAGAACAATGAGACTTTGACTCTCTTAAAGAGTTACAGTCTTGCAAACCCACAGGGGCAGTTGACTGTCCTATAGGGTCACTATGAGCTGGAATTAATTTCATGACAGTAAGTTTGGCTTTTAGTCTCAGGTGACTCTATTCTAGTAGAAAAATGAAACACTCTCACAAGAAATTATGAGGGTACAGAACAATTAAGGGCTTTTTCACTGTTTGGAAATAAATCAAAATATTAGTCTTTGGATATCTTGTGGCAAGATCTGTGCTTCCCTGGATGGATGCAGTAAAAAGTTAAAAGGATATGATTCTTCAAAGCAAAGCTACAAAGGCTTTGAGGAGCCCCTCAAATAGACTTCAGGCTAGAAGGGCAGTTCCTGGAACCCCCTAGTGGGAAGATAGTCACAAAAGTCAGCAACAGGCCTAGAATTATGTATGCCTTTTCATGTTGCTTTTTTTTTTTTTGCTAGTTATTATTATTTTATATATAAATTTTCTCTTTTTATTCAATCTTTTTTTTTTTTGTATTGTCTACCTATATAAGATGGGCATGGGAAGCAAGTCTGCAGAGAAAGAAAACCAGACCTATGGCTCCAGAGGGACTTAGGAGGAGGAGGGGGCGGGGAAGAGAGTGGTGAGAAAACAACACCACAGACAGGGGAACAACTAGGGATTTAGAATCAATAATGGGGAGGAGGACGCAGAGAACCTGGGGGTGCTAGAGCAACAGCAATCTAGCTGAGAGGAATTACTAAGAGGCAGAAGGTTGAGCCAGATGGTGGGAAAGGAGGAAGGTAAAAGTAAACAGGAAAGATCTACTAAGGAAAGCTATGGATAGAGGGAAACTCAAAGGTGTGCACTTATTAAATATGTTAATTCATAAAAATTAACATAGATGCATACATTTATATGGCAATGCATTGAGGAAGTGGAGAGACATTGGGCCTCTGCTCAAGCCCTCCCTCAATGCAAGAACACTTTATAAGGTGACCAGATTTTAACATTGGTAAAGTGGGACACCATTGATAAAACTCATATCCTGGTGAAATAGCCACATGGCAGCTGAAAACCATATACCCTAGCTTGTTGTGCAATCTTTCCAAAAATCGGGATTTTTTAAAAATGCCGCAGAACACGGGAAACATTGTTAAAAATTGGGACTGTCCTGCCAAAAGCGGGATGTCTGGTCACCTTAAACCAGTCATTCATTCTGTGATGCTCACCCTCTCTGCAGGAACACCGAAGACAAAATGAGAGCACAAGCAAATGTGGTGAAGAAAGCTGATGGTGCCCGGCTATCAAAAGATAGCGTCTGGGTCTTAAAGGCTTGATGTTAGACAAGCAGCCATCTTGCAGAGAAAGAACAAGTCCACATGGAAGAAGCACACCAGCCTGTGTTATCATGAGGTGTAGACAGGATCAGGTAACAGGCATCAAAAGACCACACACACACACACACACAAACAAACATATTGTTGAGGACAAGGGAGCTCAGAGCAGAGACCCAAAACCCATCTGTAGACAATAGGACATCCCCTCACAGAATGGTAACAAGGAAGAGATGAGTCAACCAGGGTGCAGTTTAGCACTGATGAAACACACAGTATTCCTCTGGTTCCTTGCAGTGTTCTCACCCCCCACTCTCATGACCCCAATACTGCCTTTCAGTTCTGGCTAGACTGGAGCATGTACACAGGTACAGATGAGAGCTCAGGACACACGGAACCCAAGTCAGATAAACCCCTCAGGAAAATAACGGGGAATAGGGATACCAGGAGGGGAAAGGAACGGTGGGGAGAAGAGGGGAGGAAAAACTATGAGGAAGGGAGAAAATGGTCAGTGTAAAATATGACAATAATAATAATTTATAATTTATCAAGGGGTCATGAGGATGGGGGGAGACAGAAAAAGAGCTGATACCAAGGGCTCATATAGAAAGTAAATGTTTAGAAAATAATGATGACAACATATGTACAAATATGCTGGATACAATTGATGTATAGAGTGTTATAAGAGCTGTAAGAGCCCTTGAGACAGTTAAAGTTTATTGCGCCAACCTAGCCGATAAACACATGTGGGATTAATTGAAGGGTGGAGAGATAAATGGCTCCATGAGCCTCACCTTTCTAGTTCTCCGGTCTCTTGCTTTGTGATGGTCGGACCAGGGTGCAGCTGCCTTAGTCAGCTCCCTGCTTCAGCTGGCAAGGCTCACTTCCTGCTAGACATCCCTTAGGAGAAGCCGCATGGACCTACCCTGATGCAGCCCTGGGTGTTGGAGAAGCCGTGAGGAGACCCCTGCCAGTGCTGAGATGCTTACACGTTCACTGATTTGACTTTCCTCCTGCAGTCGGCATCACTGCATCTGTTTTGTGAGATGGAGGAGGCCTTTGTGGATTGGTGTCAGACATAGGGGTTAATGCTGGAATTGTGGGTTTGGGCAGCACTGGATTGGGCTATTTTCTTGATGTGCACGTAACCTTTATATAAAACTCTCTCTTATACATGATTTCTGTGGACTTGTTTTTCTAAAATATCCAGATTAACACAGCCCCCAATAAAATAATCTTTAAAAAAGAAAGGAAATTGTATGACACGGGAAGCGTATCCGATAAAAATATTATAATAAAAAGGGTATGATTCTTGATCTCATGGGACAATGGTGGAGAGAATAGTAAGAAAGTAACTCACTACACTCACATGTAAAATATGCTTGTCATCACCATTTGAGCCCGCACGCCTCCAGACCTCCGGCACCATGGGGAAGAGGGACAATCGGGTGGCCTATATGAACCCAATAGCAATGGCCAGATCAAGGGGTCCAGTCCAATCATCCGGACCAACGATACAAGATTATCTGAATCGACCAAGGCCTACGTGGGAAGAAGTGAAAGAACAGCTAGAAAAGAAAAAGAAGGGCTCCAAGGCATTGGCTGAATTTGAAGAAAAAATGAATGAGAATTGGAAGAAAGAACTAGAAAAACACAGGGAGAAACTATTGAGTGGAAATGAGAGCTCGTCCAAAAAAAGACAGAGAAAGAAAAAAGAAAAGAAGAAATCTGGTAGGTATTCATCTTCTTCTTCATCAAGCTCTGATTCTTCCAGCAGTTCTTCAGATTCTGGAGATGAGGATAAAAAACAAGGGAAAAGGAGAAAGAAAAAGAAGAACCGTTCACATAAATCTTCGGAAAGCTCCATATCAGAAACTGATTCAGACAGTAAGGATAGCTTTAAAAAGAAAAAGAAGTCAAAGGATGCAACTGAGAAAGAAAAGGATTTGAAAGGACTTGGCAAGAAAAGAAAACTGTGTCCTGAGGATAAGCCGTTATCATCGGAATCCTTTTCAGAATCAGATTATATTGAGGAGGGACGAGCAAAAAAGAAGAAAAGCATTGAAGAACGAGAAAAAGTAACAGAAAAGACGAAGAAGAAAAAGAAGCATAAGAAGCACAGTAAGAAAAAGAAAAAGAAGGCGGCTAGTTCGAGTCCTGACTCACCGTGATGGAGGTTACGAAAACCAGGATTCCCGTAAAAAGAAAGTGCAATGTCTAAGGAAATTTCAGCTGTGAGAAATATGACCTATTTACAACATGCATGAATTTTCTTGTTTTAAAATTTATTCCTGGAATTGTAATAGCCACTCAGACGCTGCTGTGTGAAAGGGCCCTGATTGTTGCCTGCTGCTTGAACATCTTTTGTTTCCTCTTCCAGTCCTCTCCAGCTCTGGAGGAAGGACACTGCAGTGATACTAGTGGTTAAGGAATATGGGGGATAAAGTGAGTATTTTTTACTAGAAATATGTTATTTAAGGCAGCGGAATTTGAACCTGGATACATGTCGAAGACGTGTTCAGAAATATCCAGCTGATTCTAGATATTAGCGTTTTAAAGTGAGGATTACATTGAAATTTCAAAATCCTTACTCTGTAGATAGATGCATTTTATTTTTTTCCCTCCTGTATACTTTATTTACCTGGGGAAGGAGCTTTTCGGGAGGGAGAGGGTGGTTGGCTATCTCTAGCTAGCGGAACAGCGTGCCTTTGATCCTCACGCATCCCGTTTTTGTGGGTGCCTCAGCCGTGCTTCCTGGGGAGGGCAGAGCTGGCTCCAAGCAGCCTGGCTCTTGACTGAGCTTAGTGATATCCTTGGAGTCTGTCTGTGCTACTTTGAGGGAACCAGAGAAAGAGAAAGAGCCCTTTGCAGCATGAGAGAGCCCCCAAAGCTCTGGAATTTACCTCCACTTTAATAATACTGAATATTTTTTAGCATTAGAATGTGTTAATGTTATTTGAATTAATTTTGACTACACTTTGGCTTGGGACAGTAATCATTTCAAATAAACACTGGTACTTTTTGAACTTGATAGCTTAAAGATTCTAAAATGCATGTTTTATACTGTTCAATTTTCACCAGTTATGAAACCAGTGACAGTTACTTTATTTTTATATGGATTTTGTTTAGGCTGCAATGTTTAGCTTTTGTAACTCCTTACTCCTGCTATCTGAAAGTTTATTTCTGTGTTTAATGGCATATTTGCTGAGAAATTAAGCATGTAAAAACCAGGTTTTGATTTTTTTTTCCTGTTGTATTTTTTTAACAGCTTCATATTGAAGCTGAGATTTTTACCATATCCAAGTTGAGTGCAAGCCTGGTGTGCTGGATCTTGTTACATAAAGCTATTGCCAGAATCTTAGTAAATATGATGTTTTAAAAAAAAAAAATATGCTTGTCGTGTCCATCAGTTGTGACCTCTTTTGGCTGAGCACCTCACTTGGACAGTGACGGTCCTTCAGGCCCTGCCCTGGCATTCACCTTCAAGCCCTTTCCAGACCCCAGTGCACGGTTAATTTCAGAAGTCGTCTGTCTTTATCTTACAGACTCTCATTTCCTTTCTTTGGAAGATGGCATTTCTGGCAGGTCAGGATAAGAGCCAGTCCCTTAACATAAAGCACATATATAATTAAATGGAGTTGGCTCATTTCCTCTGTGAGTGACAGTTTGCCACCCCAAATAAGCATCTAGCTTTAGGGAATCTGAGGAACCCTGGTGGCACAGTGGTCGAAGTGCTCAGTTGTTAACAGAAATGTCTAGTGGTTCCCACTCACCAAGTGCTCCGTGGATGAAAGATACGGCAATCTGGTTCCAGTAGGAATTGTAGCCTGCCAATCCTAGGAATTGGCATCCCTTAGATGGCTGTGGGTTTGGTTCGGGGTTCTGACTTTGGGGAATCTAATCTAAATAAAGAATGTGCTTAGCAACTTGCTTCTAAAAACATGAAATTAGGAACCAGAAGCAGACTCTGTTAGAGGCGTGGTCTCCATCTGGGGACAGTCAAAATACATTCTTGATGCAAGAAGTGCCACTGGTGACAACCATGTAGCCACTGGGTGGAACACACACAAAGGAATGTAATGCAGAGGACAAAATCCCAAATTCCACTCTCTTTGCACTAGTGGTTGAGATTGTAACCAAATTAGATATGTTGAAAATAGTGTATGTTTTTATGTGTATTTAATTAAAGGACTAGCCCCAAGTTTAGTATATATGATTGTGTGAACTCAAAGCCCCTGCTTCTCAAGCAAATTGGTTTTCTATTTTCCTCATTTTAAGGAACCCCCCTCCCCTTAGAAATGCATTTGTGTGTATATTGTAGGAAATATGAACTGGCTGACAGCATATTTGAAAGCAAGCATGAAGTCATCTTGGAATCAGAATGTGCTCTTTCTCAATAGCACAATGGCATCGCCATCACACTAGAGCCTGTCTGAACACTATACCATGACCATGGACTAGGACCCCGGCTATTAAGAGTTCCTTCCAAAGCTGATGGTGAAAAAAAAAAAAATTTTTTTTTAAATTAAAAAAAAAAGCTGATGGTACCCAGCTATCAAAAAGTATAGCACCTGGGGTCTTGAAGGCTTGAAGGTAATCAAGCGGCCATCAAGCTCAGAAGCAACAAAGCCCACATGGAAGAAGCACACCAGCCTATGCAACCACGAGGTGTCGACGGGATCAGGTACAAGGCATCATCAGAACAAATAATCTTACCATAGTGAATGATGGGGGGAGTGCGGAGTGGAGACCCAAAGCCCATTAGCAGGCCACTGGAGACCCCCTTGCAGAGGGGTCTTGGGGAGGAGACGAGCCAGTCAGGGGGCGATGTAGCAACGATGAGAAATACAACTTTTCTCTAGTACCTAACTGTTTCCTCCCCGTTCCCACTACCATGACTCGAATTCTACCTTGCAAGTTTGGCTAGACCAGAGGATGTACACTGGTACAGATAGGAACTGGAAATACAGGGAATCCAGGGCGGATGATCCCTTCAGGACCAGTGGTGAGAGTGGCGATACAGGAGGGTAGAGGGAGAGTGGATAGGAAAGAGGGAACGGATTACAAGGATCTACATGTGACCTCCTCCCTGGGGGACAGACAACAGAAAAGTGGGTGAAGGGAGACGTCGGACAGGGCAAGATATGACAAAATAATAATTTATAAATTATCAAGGGCTCATGAGGGAGGGGAAGCAGGGAGGAAGGGGAAAAATGAGGACCTAATGCCGGGGGCTTAAGTGGAGAGGAAATGTTTTGAGAATGATGAGGGCAATGAATGTACAAATGCGCTTTACATAATTGATGTATGTATGGATTGTGATAAGAGTTGTATGAGCCCCTAATAAAATGATTTTTTAAAAGTCAGGGAAAAAAAGAGTTCCTTCCTTTGCTTCCAGCGATATTCTTATTGGCGTCTTTATACATCCTGTTCTTGATTTTAAAGCCCAGGAATCTTTGGGTTTGTTTCATAGATTTCTAGAAATAGTACAGTCTAATAAAAACAAATGCAGGAAAATAAAACAATTGAATATACATTTAACCAAAAAGGCTCCAATTTCCCCCAAAACCTAAAACTTAATATATATATATATAATATGTTTATAAAAATAAAATTTTATACACATACAATATATATGTTAATATATAGCATGGAATAGGCATGCTATGGTTTGATATTTGAGCAAATAAAGACACAGTTACTACACTCTCTCACTCAAACTGGTGAGGGAGTCCATCGAAAAATATCCAATCCCCACTTTTCACCTCCCTACCACATCTGCTCTGACAGCAGCTACAAATGAAGCACTTCCTCCTCTGGTCCTAACCTTTGAAGCTAGGGCAGACCACATGAGTTAGAAGACATAGTCCTCCAGATTGTTAATCAAGGCAGACCTCAGATGGTGGTTTTGAACTGCTGATCTTAGAGTTAGCAGCCCAGTGAGTGACCACTATGCTACCAGGGCTCCTCATTTCTGACCTACTGGCTACAAATTCAAGGAGTTCCCACTATCCCTTCAGGATGCCAGTTCTCAGCGTGGAATTCCCCAGGAACCTCCTCCTTATGTCGGACCAGCTGGCTCTGTTTTCAGGGGAATACCAGAATACCAGTCAGCAGCACAGGATGAACTAGCCTCCCTCACTCCCTGACCTACTGGCTGACATTTCTCCCATGTGTTTCATAATTCACTAAGACAGCTCACAGGAGTCATAGAAGTGCGATGTTCATGAGTACAGCTCTATTTCAGCAACAACAACAAAAAAAGTAAAGCAAATGAAGAAATGAGTAGCTCGATGCCTGGGTTGTCCTCTGGGTTTTTGTGGTTGTTGTGAAGTGACTAACTCCTAGCGACCCTGCATACAGAAGAACTAAACATTGTCCGGTCCTGTGCCATCTCATCATTTTTCCTATGTTTGAGCCCATTGATGTAGCCACCATGTCATTCCATTTTGTCAATGGAATTCTATATCGTCATTCTATCTCTTTCAATGCCCCATTACTTTACCAAGCATGATGAAAGTCTCTCCTGACAACTTATCCAAAGCATATTAGGTGAAGTCTCATCATTGTTGCCTCTAAGCGACATTCTTGCTGGACTTCTTCCAAGAATAATGGGTTTGGATATGCAACCATCTCAGGCGCACTGATGTTTCTCACTAACCAAGAATCCCGTAGGGTTCTCTGTCCAGCATCTTTATTGGGGTGCCGATACCTAGGGAGGATTGACTGAATCCGGCATCCCGCCAATATATATTTCCATATAATAGTTTTTCTGGATAGGTTAGTTCCCCCCCAGTTCATCTCTTTAGCATTAATTATTAGGTGCAGGAGGATTACAGATAACAACACAGGCATCCTCTGTTAGGTGCCATAAAGTCACTTCCAGCTCTTAGTGGCCCTGTGTATAACAAAGAGAAAAATGCCCAGTCCTGTACCATCCCCACAATTGTTGCTACCACTGTGCCAATCCATCTCTTCAAAATACTTCCTCTTTTCTGCTGCCCTTTTTAATGGCCAACCTTCACATGCATATGAGGTAAGCAAAAATACTATGGCTTAGGTCAAATGTACCTTAGTCCTCAAATTGACATCCTTGTTCTTCAACACTTTAAAGAGGTCTTGTGCAGCAAATTTGCCTTGTGCATTTGCAATGCATCGTTTGATTTCTTGATTGTTGCTTACATGAAAATTGATTGTGGAGCTAACTAAGATAGAATCTCTGACCACTTCAATCTTTTCTTTATTTCTCAAGATGGTATCTTTTGATCTAGTCAGGAGCATGTTGGTAGGGTCTAGATTTATCAGACAGGAACGTAGGATGAGGACCAATTACTTTAAGTAAATTAAATACCTTTAACCTACAAAAACGAATTTGTTTTTAACCTAAAAATAGGAATTTGTTTCGGAGGAAATGAAGCTCCAAAAGATTAAGGGAACCTTCCATTATTACACAGATAAAAGCTAGTATTTGAAATTGGTTCCACTTAGTTAATTCCAAAGCTTTCTCTTAACATTGCTTGGTTGGAAGGAAGATATCGGGCTGTTGTCAAAATCAAGGAGGCAGTGATGTGATATTGGTAGGAATGGAGAGAAAGCAGTGATTTCTGAATATTTGCCCAAAATTATGGATGGTGGCTTCTATTTACAAAATATCATTTTAAATAACTGCTGAGTGATGTAACATTTCAAAATAAGAAATGAGGTGTCCCCGACAGCCTCTCTCATAGGGGTCACAGGGACGCTATGACCGCCGCCTGGACCCTCCCTCACCATGTTGTTACGGGTGATACTTTCTGCCACCACCACAGCGGCCCCTGCTCTGAAGAACGCAGCTCTCCTAGGTCCAGGGGCAGTGCAAACCCCAAGGATCTTTCACACAGGGCAGCCAAGTCTTCCCCTGTACCACCTCTTCCTGAATATGGAGGAAAAGATCCCTTCAGGCTGATCCCTGAAAAATTCTTCCAGCTCCTTCATCCTAAAACTGGGGTCACAGGACCTTCCATGCTTGGATTATTTTATATTTTCTGTGCAAAGAAATATATGTGGTCACCGCAGAAACATTCTCAAACATAGCAACAGTAGGGTTGCTTATCTATGGCATTACAAATATGGCCCCTCTGTTGCGGAATTTGCTGATAAACTCAATGAGGACAAAATTGCCGAGCGAGAAGAGGTAAAGCAGGCCTCCATCAAAGGCATCCAGGATGCGAAGGATATGGAGAAGGCACAGCAGTCCCTCGTTCAGAAAGGCCATCCCCTTGTTGATGTTCAGAGGAGTAATATTGCTATGGCCTTGGAGGTGACGTACCGGGAACAGCTGCACAAAGCATACCAGGAGGTGAAGGATGGCCCAGACTAGCAAAATGTGACGTGCC